TATATATATATATATATGTATATACACACACACACATTTTATATGTATATATTATTTATCTGTAACTTTACATCTAATCTGTAATTACATCTAATTAAAAACTTTATTTATATTTAATAAGTAATATACATATCAATCTTCGTGCTTCCGGACCTGTATAAAGAAACGTGTGAGAATGGCCACCAACGATTACGTCGATCAAGGGACATTTTGCGGCCATAATTCTATCCACATCCAATCCGCAATGACTCAAAACTATAATAATATCTATTCTTTTTTGTTTCAGTCTCTGAGCTTCGTCATTTACTGTCTCCACTTCGTCTAAAAATTTCAGTTTTTCTGTTCGAGAAAGCAACTAGAAAAATCGAATATACTTTAATATAAAATTATTGTTGCAATATTGTTGAAAGAAAAAAATTAACATATGTATGAATTAAATTAATCACTCACATTAGTAGTCGACAAAATTACGCCAATTACTCCAATCTTGATACCGTTTCTTTCGATAATCGTGCTGTTCTGATATAAACCCTGAAGATTAATAATAACGTTTATTAATTTGTAAATGTTTTAAATATTCGATAAAAAATAACCAAGCAAAGATTACATAAATACGTTTCTTGTGTGTAAACACAAAAAACCATTGTTGTTTCTATTAATTTAAGACGCGATCAAGTGAAACATAATCACTACGTGCGTATTTAAACAGTTAACATTGCATAATGCTTTTTATTATACTATAAAAATAGATCATTTCGATAAGTCTAATGTTGTCTTTATAAAAATTATGTGTAACGTTTATTGTCATCGTTATTTTGAATACACTTTGACGATTATTTAGATATATTACTTCCAAACAGCACAATAATATTTTGAAAACGTATTTTTTATATAAAAAAATGTACCTGTACACTAGAACTCCGGTAATTTCGAGCATCACAGTTTCAACTGTTTTATTATGGATGGACCAATAGTTTTCTCACTCTATTGATGATTTTCCGATATTCTTAAGTGACCGCGCAAGTCGTAAAATACGCGTCTATCCTCGCTCTAAGAATCTAAGAGAAAGAGTAACATATATATCTTTCATCTCTCTTGCCACTAGTCGATTTCTAACTGGAAGAGAAAAAAATAATTTTGATTTCTAGAAAAAATCAGTTCTCCGCGTTTGAATTACCGAAGTTCTACTGGATGTTTTTTTTTTTTATATCTGACATACATTTTTTATACAGACCTGTATAGTTGGCTCCTCACTGTCATCGATATTTGTTACCACAACCGGCGCTTTGACATTTTTAAGAAACGGTACAACACCTTCAATTTTATTGTCAAACTCGTGATTGCCAATTGTCTGTGATAAGTCATAAAAAGATATTATTATTAATAATCTGTCAAATGTTTGTGGATGACACACGTCTAGTGTTGCTACATAAAAATTAAAACTTCCGTGAGATTCGTTTTCAGAAACTGCCGAAATAATTAAAAATGTCTCTTTCACGCCACTTTTCCCCTACATTGTTTTAATATCAATTTATTGATTGTTTTTTTTTACTTTTTAATTATCTAATTTTTTAGTATGAAGCAAGCTACATTTTTTTTTTGTTTTTATTTTTCTATGGTATTTTAAATTTATATTTATAATTATTCATTTTATTTGTATTTTTCTTCATGTGCACCAAATTACATTTTACTTTTGCTTGTCGGAAAATAAATTACCATAACATCGTGTGGCAACATGTTCATGAACTTAGCGGTAACATTCCATCGATGTATGTTATACCAAAGCGTTCCCTGAAAGTGATCGCCCGCATTTAGGAAAATTGCATTCGGTCGTTCATTAACAAGTTGATTCACTGCTGTGTACAATCTGGCAAATCCGCCCACGCAATTTTCTTCCTCGCCTTTGCGACAAGTCCCAGAAGTCGGTCCCGTCTGCTCGAACCTTTATCAACATAATAATTTCTATTTTCTCAGTCACGCTTTGATGCTTGAACAAACAACCCAAAACCTGACCGCGTAATAACAATCTTGTGATTGCGACATTAAGAAAAGAAAAAAGAGGCGAAGGCCACGTCAGGATTATTATGATCGCTTTTATCCTTGAGCTCGTGAATTCGCTTCGAACGCGGAATTTTAATCGATTTCGAAATTTTATCGAGCGTGCGACAAGCAAAATTGTCTCGCAAATTAGCGGTTTCTCGACAACAATTAATACATTATTACCAACCAAATAAATTTTCCTGGAATTGTTAATAATAATATACCATACACAAAACTACGTAATTACACGTTGAGCGCAACTACCTACTTAAGTAGAAATTGAAAAAAAAATGTGAAATTGTTTACCTGGCGTGAAAATCGTTCAGATGAATTATCGACAGTTCAAACAGATCTGTTCTATTGGGATAAAAAAATTTACGGCCGGTGGTGAATCCGTAACAGACGTAACAGAATAACAAAAGAAACAGCAATGCGCGCATTGTTGCACCTGTCACAAAAGAGATACAGGTATCGTTACTTATATCTGCTAATAATTACGACTCCGCGTCACGAACATACAAGTCAGATAAAACGACACTAAAATGCGGAACTACGATGTAATTGTTTGTGTTTTCTTTTCTAACATATTTAAATTTGAATAAACTTGAAGAATCGATTTTCGCGTTTTTTTATACACAAAGCGTGAACGTATTTACTGCAACTATGTTTTTTTTTGAAATCGCGATACATTTATACGCGGGCGTTTCACTTCTTTGTCAACACAACAGGAAATGATAATTGCATTTTTTTTGCTGTAATAACGATAATTGTCGTTAAGACAGATAATACGATAGATGTTGCAATTTGTGCAACATTCAAAGATACGACGGTCTTACATTTCAGTGATCTTTATCGACACTTCGTGACTTTTAAAATAGCAAAAATATATTACAATATTATATAGAAATCTAAAATTATAATAAAAAAAAATTGTTTTTATAAAACTTAAAAAAATAAAAATAAATAATTTCTGGCCATTATTTTTCTTTCTTTAAAAATTAACAATTGTTTCAAATTAAAATTGTTGATTGTTTTAAAATAAAAACATCAGATGTGCAAAATTAATAATTTTGCGTTATAAAATATTATAATAAGTATAGTTTAAAAAACATTTTAATTTTGATTTTCTATGAATTGTTATATAATATTACATCTATATTCTTTGATTTTATTTCTATATATTATATTTCTTATATTTTTAAGTGTTTTTCTTTTTTCTTATTTTTATGTACTTTTACACACTTTTCTCTTTATATACTAAAAGTTTTATTAAATTATTGTTATCTCATTATAAATAAATAAATAAAAAGAAAACAAAGAAGAGCTAAGGTAAGGTATTTGTCGCATATGGTAACGCTTTTAAGTTGCTCGCACTTAAATAACTGCAATTATTTGACACAAGACTACGTGCTGCCAGTTTCTTGCTTACTCCGCTCCCACTAATTATAATGCAAGTAGGAATGAGAAACAGGTGTTACGAGTTTGCGAATGAGTCGCCAAAGATAAATTAATTGCATCACAATAAAACATCGCAAAGACACGGAGTTAACACGAAGTAACGCGGAGTATTCTGCAGTTAGTTAACAGAACTCGTAATAACAACATAGGCGCGTTTTGCGATAAATGATCTCCGATAAATACCGACGTCACACACACTAAAAACGTATCTTATCCAAGCGATCTTCAGCAATTAGTGAAGTTACGATTTTTTTTTGCACTTAACCGGAAATGTTTAAAGAACGACAAATGAACGTTACGTATGTAAATTGCGCATGAGCGAATTGTAACACACTTCTCCGTTTTGCAACAAGCGCGTGTGATCACCCTTGTCTTCTTGTAGTACGAGTCGCGCGGTAACTCGCGTGTCGAATATTCGTGGAGAACTGTGCCTCGCTTACGATTTACTTTGTGTGTGTATTCTCACTCGTTCTGTGAAGATATCTTGATTATCAGATTCTCCACCTCTAAACGAGAGAGTGATTAGAAATTCTTTCAAAAATCTCTCATTTATGTAACGTACACAATATAATTTTTATTTACATACATGACGTAATTACATAGCTTTGATCCTTGTGCTTACGCGCGACGTCGCCTACAGCGAGATATAATTGTTGTTAAAACTATGGTAAGATAAAATTTACTTAAATCTGAGTTCACACAGAAAAAAATTCCGCGCCGCGCGCATCGCGTAATTATAAAAATTATATAAATAAATTCTGTATTTTATTTGATGCAAAAAGTGTTTGATTGAAAAGTGTAATTTACATTACTTGTTTTCTTAGATAAAAAAATTATTGTTGTTTCTTTAATCTTTGGAACAGATTTAAGCGAAACAAAATCACCAGGTGCGTATTTAAACCGTTGTATAAATGTTTCCCATTATGCTGTAATGATAGATTACATTGCGAAAAATCTAATGTTTTCTGCTTTATAACCCGGGAAAAAATGGATTAGATCTAACTTAAATTTAACGAGATAAAAAAAATGGAAAAATAGATCTAATTAAATCCAAATTAAATCTAAATAGATATAAAGTAGATCTAAACAAATATAAAGTAGATCTAAATAAATATAAGCAGATCTATTAAATTTACACCTTTATATATTATTAAATCTACTCTTTAGATCTACTCAGATCTACTATAATTAAAACTACTCAGATTTAATTAGATTTGAGCAGATCTGAACAGATCTGAGGTAATCTAATATAATAGATTTGAGTAGATCAAGAGTAGATCTAATAATAAATAAAAGTGTAAATTTCCATAGATTTACTTTAATTTATTTAGATCTACTTTATATTTATTTAGATTTAATTTCGATCTAATTAGATCTATTTTTCCATTTTTTTTATCTCGTTAAATTTAAGTTAGATCTAATCCATTTTTTCTCGAGCGTTTATTAAATCATCATTGGTCTTCATGTATATTGTGATTTGAGTGATCATTTAGATATATTACTCTTGGACAGCTCAAAAAATAATATAAATAATAAAAATATTATAAAAATGTATTAAAAGAAGAACAATTTATAAAATTTATATATATTTGTGAAACTATAAATTTAATTTAATCGTTAAATTTATAATGTGAAAAACATAAGAAAAAATATTAAATTAAGCAATAAAAGAAATGATTAGAGATGGTATCGCAAAGAACGCAAAAATATAACTTATATAAATAATTTCATAAAAATAATATAATTGTTAAAAAATCAAATTCCAAAAGAAGCACGTCGTCATCACGTGCGCGCAGCATGTAAGGACGTATAAAACTGCTAATCCTTGCTAAAAACTGTAATCTGAAAATTCCGTTATATAAATTAGTCTAAACAACACAATTTGCACACTTTGCGCTATTGATTTTGTTATCTATAAAAATTGATATGCGCACTCTCGCGTGCATGACAATAATGAATTGTCGCGAATTATCGCGATATGCGAGAAAACTTAATGACAAACAGATAAACGAGTTATCTACATATATACGTAATGACGCCAATGACAAAGATATTGCGCGTGAAATCTAAGAAAAATCTAAGAAATCTTGCGAAGGTTTATGTAGATCTCGCGCGCCTGTTTACGTGTTCCGCATGCTTGGTGCACAAAAAAAAAAAAAAACAGAATTAGAATTCATTTTGTTACGTGATTACACGATCATAAAACGCGCGACGAAAACAGAAGTGTGAGGTCTGCTTAGTGAATAAATTTCTTCGCGTCGTAACGCATTTATGAACGCGTGATTACTTATTTTTCACGGACGTTAACGCATAACACGCACACGCAAATAATGGAAAGAGCAAGAGCTCGTAATACGAACGGAAGAGGATAACGATGCCAAATAATAAATCGCCGAACAACAATCTGGCTCTCTGACAGAAACGTAGTGCTGTATATCTGATCTATATTTTGTCTGCTACACGGTGCGTAAATGCACACAGCTGGTTGCGCTCAATTGTATACAATTCAAAGAGAGAAATATCGGATTCTCGTCATTGTCGAAATTATCGATAAAAAGATTCTCATTCAAACGCATCGGGCGGGGGGTTTGCTGAATTTCGAAGCTCTTTTTTAAAAAGCGCGCTTTGTAACTTGCTGAGAAACACATTTTTATTTGCGTAAGTTTTATTAAATTGATAATTGATAATTAAATTGATAATTAAATTGATTATCGAATCCGGCAATAATCTCTGCGATCACGTATTATCGCATACATAAATTAAAAAATAAAGAAATTTAATCAGAGATATCAAATGGCAATAAAAAATATGAAATAATTAAATCGCGAGATACGAAAAACATTGCGAAACAAAGACAATGCACGTGCTTAGTCTTTGTTCTGATAAGCACGTTACTCATTTTTCAAAATCTCCAACTGCCGATTTCCTCATACCTCTCGATAGCTATCATCTGGAAAAAGATATATACAAAAAGATATACTTTTTAATTTTTTAGATAAAATTATCAAGAACTCTTACCTAGAAGTGAAAACATTTTTCCTTAGATGAGAATTTTGTATATAAATTCGCGAAGTAACAGTTTCTTGAAAAGATCAAACGTTTCTATAGACGCACATATGTTTTTTAGTTAGCGAAGATCCCAGTAGAGATCAGGAACAGATTCTCTCAGCCCGCATCCCGTCGAGACGGAATATCATTGAGAATAACGCCGATCATATATTCAGTTGTTGCCGGTCGCTCGGTAAAATCGGCTCGCGTTTCTAACTGTACCGCAGCAGCCGCGATAAGAACGACATGAGTGTATTACCTTTATTTTATAAAGTGTACGTCAACTCCTTTCATTAGTCAAAGTGACAAATCACGTTGGAGCACGTTTTCTTCAAAGGCTCTTCACCGCTTTCTTTCGAGACAACAGTAAGAAAATTTATACATATTTGAATAATATGTTGACGCGTTGCGTGAAAGAAGATTGATTTGTACGACCATAGTACTGCCGATAGTGATGTAATCAGTATTTTAGATGCGATCTTATGTCACATCACTTTTGTCGATTTACGTATGTGTGCGTGCATGTGTGTGCGTGCGCGCAATGTTATCTGAAATATTTGATAACTCCACGCGCGCGGAACGCGTCAATGAAGAAGCGAAATGATGAGTTCGGCGCTTTCCTATAAGAGTTGAAATACTGATTGGCTCTATCGTATCGTGTTGTTATTCGTTTTGATCACATGCACTTGATTTGCATCCTCCTTGTTGCGTGTTAGAATCATTAGTTTGAATCATTGTTTATTTATACACACGCGAGGATTTGTTTGAATATTGTTACTCAATACAACCGATCGCTGATATCTATAGGTGTAAATTAAGAAAAATAAACAAAACAAATAAAGTGTATCTTTGAAGAAAGTATCGAGCATAAACGTTATGACAATAAGAAAATTTTTTAATAAAAAAAAATATATATATATAATAATACAAAGAATGTAGATGGTGCGAAACGTTTCGACATTCACCGATGTCCTCTTCAGTCGCAGTGTACAGAAAGTTGGATATAAAAAGATAATGTGTTAAAGATATGGTAGATGGTCGTACCTCATGTGTATTCATATAAACCGCAAAGAGGCAATATTTTTTTATTTTGTAAATTAAGAACTTTTATATTCGAGGCACATTAGTATTTTTCTTAAGCCAAAAAAAAAAATTTCGAATATATTTTTGAAAAGATATTTTTAGATTTTACATAATGTCTTCTTTTTCCAAAGACCTCAAAAATGTTTCCTCGTGTTAATGTGGATGAAATATTGGTGTAATTTATTCTTAACACTTTGCGGACAGACACAGGTCTCCTAGACCCACTCAAAGATTGTGCATTGGTGTTTCTCGTAAAAATTAGTTTTTTTTAACGCTTACTAGAGATTTTTTCAATTTGTTTTTTTTCTTTTTGGCGTTGGTGCAGAATCGTTCAAAATTTCAATTCAAAAACAAAATTGAAACCATATTGATTTCTTGCGGAGAAAAATTTATTTGATTTTTAAAGTCGTGTGAGTCTCACAGATCTCACAGTTTGTCTGACTTGTAAATCATTTTTTTAGAATTGCGAAAAGTTAAGAGTTAGCAAATAATTAGAAAATACTTAGAAAAACAAGCTAATAATAATAATAATTTATTTTTAAGTAGTTTGACTATTTCCACATAATTAGGAAGGGAAACTGAGAGAAAGTAATGTCGAAAAAGAAGAAAATTAATGTTTAATTATTGTCTTAAATTCTATTCTCAAATTAGTCATTTGGCGCGGCGCCAAATATTACGTGCCTTTGTTTTCTATTTGAAACATGGCGATATTGACCGCGACTTTATAAGCTGTTACAATTCTTGGCAAGTGTCTCGATACGTTTCGTAAACTAATTTCGTAAGAACAGAAAAAGAGAAAGGACAAGTGCAAAAAAGTGCGTTATTGCTTTTTAATGTTCCATATCACTTCTCTTTACTGTCGCAGCATTCAAACAGCATTAAAAAAAAGTATTACAATCAGTATAAAAAACTAAACAATTATAAAAATTTTGTTAAATATTCAAATAAATATCTAAATAAATTATTGATAATAAATAAAAAAAAAAAAAAAAGAATTCCGACAGTGTATAGAAAATTAGATAAGAATTTGTTTTATATTCTTTTAAGCGTATTTACTTTTAGAAATATGTTCGACGTGAGATAACAACGACGATAATGAAAACGTTCATGATAACAGTGCGGCTAGTCGCGTGAGAAGAAAACATCAGCATCGTTAATCAGTTTCTAACGCAAAAGGAAATAAGTGATAGAAAAACAAATCATAACAGAAGAACAACTACAGAGACTGATTGATAACTATCGAAGATGTCGGTCTCTTTGTTTGTTAAGACGTGCGTCATCGCACTACTAATATTCGCAAATGAAGTTTTTATGAATCCCATCTTACGTGAAGACGACAAGTTTACTCTTCGAATCGTTCACACAAATGATATGCATGCGAGGTAATTATTATTATATAATATTTTATTTCCTATGATATTATATTACTAAATATAAAAAATAATATTTTTATAGTAATTTTCTTTTGTCAAAATTAGTGTTTAAAAAACAATTTTGCTATCTGAACAACTTGCTATTTAAATAACATTTCTGTTCTCCTTACGAGGTTCTCGAGTTCCGCAATTCAATTCTACGTTACACTAACAGCAATTACCGCGATCGCACTAATTGCTAACGTTAAAATAGTTCATTTTCATCTCGCACCCAGGTGTGTTAATCAAACATTCCGTGTGTTTGACATTTGATGCTTTCACGGTATGTTGTATTACAACATTTAGAGATGTTTTTTGAGTTTGAACCGCGTTGGTGTCATTTTTAATACCGAACGTTTCGTGAACATTTCAACTCACGATACTGCCCGGTAAAAAATTTTTCATATATACTTATACACAAATTAAAATAATTATATCTAAGTATGCAAATTTATATGCCGAATATGTCCATACAATTTTATACACGGAGAATTTCTTTTTTTAAGAGAATGGCTTCAAAGATATTCCATATCAAATTACAAAATACCTTTATTAGTATCGTGTTGGATACAAAAAAATTATATAAAACTATATTTTTACTATATTTTTAAAAAATGTTTGATATATAATCATATATACTTATACACAACTTAAACTTATTATATCTAATTATGCAAAAATTTATATATATATATATATATATATATATATATATATCGAATATGTCCATACAATTTTATACATGGAAAGTTTTTACCGGGTGTATCAGACTGTTCTTGAAATCCTGATGAAGTGTTCGAAATGTTCACGAAACGTCGGTATAAAACTGACACTAACGCGGTTCAAACCCGAAAAACATTCTTTGAATGTTAATTCCTTATGTTTCTTTGATTCATAAATTTGTCCGAGATAATTTCTATGTTTCATCTCGCATTAAATGACACTAACACCAAAAAAATTATATTCTCGTAAGTAGAAGATTTTATACTTAAAAAATCTTCTTAAAGATTTTAGATGATATGCTTCTGAAATTAAGAATATATCTTTATTTAAGAATATATTCTTAATTTAAGAATATAGTCTTTTTCGATAGTGAGATATATATGTTTTTCTATAGAGGCTTTTTATATTCTAATCGGTATATATTCTTATCAATATTACTATTTAGAGGATTTTCCTTTTAAAATAAGAAACTCTTCTTGGCGCCTATTTTAGTATAAAATATACTTAAAGTAAGTGGGATATTTCTTCAAAACAAGAATACAATTTTTTCGGTGAAATCGCAGCCAAAAAAGCGCGTCATCGCTTATTTAAATTAACAGTCCTTGATGCAAAATATATTTTTAGATTTGAAGAAACGTCGCAATTATCGACGGCGTGTACACCGCAGGATTCCAAAGCCGGGAAGTGTTACGGAGGTTTTGCTAGAATCGCGACTCTCGTCCGCCAAGCGAGATCGGAATCACCTTCGACATTATTCTTGAACGCCGGTGACACTTACCAAGGAACCGCGTGGTACAATGTATACAAATGGAGAGCGGTGTCTGTGTTCCTGAATCTCTTGGCGCCGGATGCTATAGTAAATATTAGCTATTCTATAGTTCAGAACGTAATCCAATCACACAGAAACGTTGATTCAAGGTCGATTCGATATTGATGTCATTGCGCAAACATCACACAAAATGAGAAAACCCCTCTTCTCTTTGTTTCTTTTTCTCTCGTCGATTGTACGTATATCTCAATATCCGGCAGTTCGCACACATACCGTTCATAATCAAAAACATTTTTAAAAAATAACGCGAAAAATATAGTTTTATATACTTTTTTGTATCTAACATGATACTAATAGAGTTAATTTGTAATTTGATATGGGATATCTCTGAAGCCATTCTCTTAAAAAAAAAATTCTCCGTATATAAAATTGTATGGACATATTCGGCATCTAAATTTGCATAATTAGATATAATTATTTTAATTTGTGTATAAGTATATATGAAAAATTTTTTACCGGATAGGTAGCCCGCATTAGTGGGCATTGAGTGCAGGCTACCGCGAATTTGCTATTAATTGTTTCATAGTTACTCTTAACTCACATAAGTGTACATAGCACTTGAATATAATTTTGCACATTGTTACATTATTGGAACATAATATAAAATAGAAAGTATAAAATAATCGTGTCAATAGTTAGCCTTTTGTGAAAAGTCGAAATCCGTGTGAATTTTTGTTTTTTATCTAGAAAATCCGATAATGCATACCTAAGCGCGTCAGAAAGTTTTCAACACGGGAAAAAAGTTTTAAAGAGCAAAGAAAGAATTTTTGCTGGGCTTGCTAAATTTAAAAACTATTTAATGTGCAAAGAACTCGCGACCTTCCCTTATGAACCTCGCTTTACGTGGAAAGTTAGTAAACTTATGTGGAATTATTTTGCTTCGGTTTTAGTCGTCGCTTGTTGCAAGCAAGATTTTTCTACGGGTTTCCAACCTTCCACACAAAGCGAGGATCAACCTAAATCTATGTGTCTAGTTTTTTGATAGTGGAACCATCTCGTAAAGAGAGAGAGAGAGAGAGAGAGAGGGCGGAACACATTGTCTTCACGCTCACATTTTCTACGCGAAGCGAGGTTCCACATGGATTTATAATTTATCAAATTTTCAATTTTTGTTGGTTTCTAACAATCATTTGTAATTGTATTTTTTATTAACTTTTTAATGAATGAGTAATAACTAAAGTCTCTTAGAAAATACTCAAAATAATGGCGTTGACAACATACAATATGTCAAAATCATCCAAGCATCTTCTTCTATAATGAACATTTACCGGAAATGTTTTAAATTCATAAGGTTTTTACAAGTACATTTACAAATTTTTAAGAAAAAATTTATTTACAACTTTAAAAAAAATTTGTTTATTTAAAATATCTTATCCAAATTGTTACTTTTATTATATATTATTTAAATTATTAATTATTACACTTTATATTAATAATATTATTAAAATTACATCGTTTTTGTTACTCTAATAAAAAATAGTATCCAAAAATTGTTAGTGTTTATTTTAAATATGTAATATTTAATAAACAAAGGTATTATGGCTATTGAAGCAAAACACAGATGTCGATGTGTGAATAGTTGAATCAATTTATTGCAAAACTTAGTGCAAAACGTTTTCGACCTTGTATCAGGTCTTTCTCAATGCATTTAAAATACTGTAGTAAAATACCGTCGCACAGTGCTGTCACAAGAATGTTCTACTACAGTATTTTAAGTGCACTGAGAAAGACCTAATACAAGGTCGAAAACGTTTTGCACTAAGTTTCAATAAATTGATTCAACTATTCATACATCGACATCTGTGTTTGTTTGCTTCAATAGCCATAACCTTTGTTTATTAAAAATTCTTGAAGCTATATACACATATTTTTACATACGTAGTATTTAACTTTGTTATTAAAAAACTTGTGCACATAAAATGTGTATTATGTAAAAAAAAGTAACGGAAGTTGTAACAATTCACTACTTTTTAAGTAACGGTAACGATGATGATCCGCACATCAGAACAAAAACTCCATTAGACGTCTATTAGACGTCGACAGCTCCATGCGACGTCTAATAGATGTCTAATGGATGTCTGTGTGAGGAGTTACTTTTTTTAAAATTAATAACGAGTGACACAAACGTTTTAAAATTGATAACGAGTAACGTAAACGAGTTAGTTTTTTTTTTAGCAAAAAGACGATAACTGTAACGAGTTACTTTGTAAAGTAGGTTTTGTAGAAAAAGAATTTTTTGTAGCGTGCATAATAAAATAAAATAATTTCTTTGTACAAAATTATAAACAGTTTGTGAGTTTAGATTTTTAAGTTAAGTCGACTCAATGTTGCTCATGTACTTGTCGTCTGTTTTTTTTTACCTTTTTTTGAAAAGATAAAAATTTGTTTGAGATTAAATAGATTTCAACAACATTTGCAAAAAATTAGATATAAACAAATTAGTAAATGAAAAAGGTCACATCGAGCCAAAAAAAGATATTAATATAATAATATAATGATTTAATGATCAACATTTACATATATAAAAAATACGCAAAATATTTCGACTCTAACTGGAGTCTTCTTCAGTCGCAAATAACATATCAATAATATAAAAAATATAAAAAATGCGCAATATACATTATGTCAAGATATAAACGAAGTCAATGTTTAAAAGCAACGTAGAAGGTTGGTCGTTAATATTAAACATGGTGTAATTACCTTGGAGATGACATTTACGACGCATGATAGTCAAACTTTTTATATTTTTTATATTATTGATATGTTATTTGCGACTGAAGAAGATTCCAGTTAGAGTCGAAATATTTTGCGTATTTTTTACATATGTAAGTGTTGATCATTAAATCATTATATTATTATATTAATATCTTTTTTTGGCTCGATGTGACCTTTTTCATTTACTAATTTGTTTTTATATTACGAGCGTTTCTGTTTAATTTATTACAAAATTAGATATATACTTTTGTTATACACATATACATATATTGCATTTTTCTGAATTCTAACAGAGTTTAGGCAATCACGAGTTTGACGACGGCGTAGCCGGTTTAATACCATTTATACAAAATGCAACATTTCCCATCGTAACGGCGAATCTGGACCTCAGCGAGCAGCCCGATCTGGCCGCGACGAACTTGAAAAACAGCACGGTTCTTGAAGTTAACGGCAGAAAGATCGGCGTAATTGGTTACCTGACGCCGGAAACGAAGATTCTGTCGACCACCGAAAAAGTGATCTTCAAGGACGAAGTGGAAGCTATTCGAAAAGAAGTGACGAAACTGAGAGAACAAGGCGTCGACATTCTTATCGCTCTCGGACACTCCGGTTTCGAAACGGATAAGAGGATCGCCAGAGAGGTCGAGAACATCGATCTGGTAATCGGCGGTCACACCAATACCTTTCTGTATCGTGGTCGACAACCCGATGTCGAAGTACCGGAAGGTTTTTATCCAACCGAGGTGAGACAAAAGAACGGAAGAAAAGTCTATGTCGTTCAGGCGTACGCGTACACTAAGTATCTGGGCAATTTCTCCGCGAGTTTCGACGTTAAGGGAGAAATCACGCATATTGAGGGGAATCCAATTCTTGTCGACTCCAGTGTGATGGAGGTACGTAATTTTTAATCAATAGTTGTGAGTAAAATAAATTTTTTCTCTTCTATATGAGTGGAAATATTATATAATCATACTAATAATAATATAATATTATATAGTATAAATATAATATT